AGCCCCCCCTGCTTCAGGGTCGTCCTAGCAATAACCACACTCTGAAACCATCCTGTTCATTTCTGTTTCCTTCTTTGCCATCCATCTCCCCAAGAGTGCTCTTTCAGAGCTGGGCCTTGTTTGCTTTTCATGACAGTCTCTTGAGCATCCAGCACAGCGGCCGGCTGGAAGCATTTGTCGTTCGATAGACTGAATGAAGGGATTATGTCATGGTGCCTCTTGACTCAGGCCCTGGCCTGGTTGCCTTTGGAATGAGAAGATGCTGTTTGCTGGCAGTGCCTTCCTGGGGTGTGTGGAGCGAGAGTCTGAGACTCAGTGGGACACAACCCCTTTTGGGGGGGACTGTAACTTGGTGGGATCTCTGTTGGTTTAGGGTCAGAAACATAGTTCTAGCCATTCTGGGGGTAAGCAGAGTCGGGGAGGCTGACTCATGTTAATGAAACGGTGGGGGTGATGGGCAGATTGGAATGCCTAGGCCAAGGGGACCTATGTGTGTGTGCGTGTGCTAAGTCATTTCAGCCATGTCCTACGCTTTGCGATCCCATGGACTGTAGTCCACCATGTTCCTCTGCCCATGGGATTCTCCAGACAAGAATACTGGAGTGGGTTGTCATTTCCTCTCCAGCGGATCTTCCTGACCCAGGGATGGAACCCGTGTCTCTGATGTCTCCTGCATTGGCACTTGGGTTCTTTACCACTAGCACCACCTGGGAAGCCCAAGGGGTCCTGGGTGCCTTGCAACTAGCCAGCACTTGCTCCAGAAGGAACATCTATACTAGGAAGAACTCGGTCATGGGAAGCGGCTCATCAAGAAGGACTTGGAATAAAGGGAGAGGGCGATTGAGGAAACTGGATAACCTCAGTGGACAATGTCATCAAAGGGAGGTGGATGTATGCTCTTTCTTTATCTAATAAAAGTGATACAGTAAAATCTTAAGCAAATACCTTGGTACCTTTTTACATGTGCATCCACCCTTATAACAACCACTCAGATTAGGGCTATGAATATTTCCTTCTCATTAGATGAGATCCCATCTCCTCCCCAAAAGTTTCTCCTTGTGCCTTCTCAGTAAATATTCCCTCACCTCCACCCAAGGGCAACCACGGCTTAGACCTCTGTTACCATAAGATTGGTTTTTTCAGCTCTGAATTTCAAATATATGAAACCATACACTGGATCCTCTTTTATGTCTTGAATTCTTTCACTCAGATTGTGCTGTGAGATTCAACAGTGTCGTGTTGTGTCTACCCATAGTTCTTTTTTAACTTCTGTGTAATATTCCATTGTGTTTCATTCGTATTCCATATGAGAATTAATTCACCCTTGTTGCTCTTGATGGACATGGGAGTTGCTTCTTGTTTTTAGTTGTAATGAATAAAGCTATTGTGAATATTCTCGGACCTATTGTTCGGTTGTCAGGCACTATTTTCTATTGTGTACATACCCAGAAGTGGAATTCCTGTGTCATGGAGTATATGCTTTTTAACCTGAGTTTTGTTTGTTCCATTACTCAGTTGTATCATTGCCACACCATGAATGGCAGCACACCAGGCTTCCCTGTCCTTTGCTATCTCCCAGAGTTTGTTCAAACTCATGTCCACTGAGTTGGTGATGCCATCCAACCATCTCATCCTCTGTCACCCCCTTCTCTTCTTACCCTCAGTCTTTCCCAGCATCAGGGTCTTTTCCGATGAGTTGGCTGTTTGTATCAGGTGGCCAAAGTATTGGAGCTTCAGCTTCCGCAGCAGTCTTTAGCCTGTGTCGGTGCTGCCAAAATCTCTTCCAAAGAGGTTCTACCATTTTAGAGTTGGATAGTCTTAGTGGTTAATGTCATTGAAAGAAGTTGGGTAATCTTAATGACATCATCATCCATGATGCCAACTCACAGCCCCATGGCCAATGAGGAAGCAAACCCGTCAGGCAGTCAGAAGCCTTGTGTCTGCGGGTCAGGCCCTGTCTTTCCTGGCTTGTGCTGTCCAGCCCTGAGAAAGTTCAGCTCTCTAACTCCCTTTCAGAATTCCTTATCAGTCACCAAAGCATCTGTCATTACAACACTGCCTGGCTCTGGGCAAGCCATGCTGTCCAAGATTACAGCTTATCTTCCACTGGAGCCTGTTAAGTCGATGTCTTCCTTGTTGAGAGGCACCCCAGGCCTCTTGCAGACATCCAGGCAGCCTCTGGTCTTACCAGCAACTGGCACACACATCATACATTGGTGGGTTGCTTCCTGATGAGATTTCCTGAGGACCTTGGCCATAGATGGCTCTCTCTTCCAATGTATTTCCATTTCAGGGGGTGACAGTTTCAGACTTGTTCCCCAGATTCCAGGGTGCACCTTACACAGGGACTATGTGCTATTGATAAAATTCATAGGAAGTATGAATTGAAAAAAGATGTCAGAAGTTATCCAGTACACGCACCTCCTACAGGTGGGGAAACTGAGGTCCTTGCCCCAGGTCACACAGCTTGTCTCCTGACCACTAGCCTAGGTTCATTCCTCCAGGGCCGCCAGACTGGACACTCAGACTCTGGGGTGGTGGCAGCTGCCACTGTTTGCAGAACCTGCTGCTGTTTGCAGAGACTCTCGTGGTTAAACCCAATCTACGTCACTCCCAGTGGTTGCTCCCCGCCCCCCGCCCCCACCCTCCACAGCTTCTTGACCTGTGGCCAGGCTCTGTGGACCTATCTCTGTCATTAGTTCATGACTGTCCTGTCAGTGTTGGTTGGAGAGACTCTGTAAATTAAGGTACTACTTGTGACAACAGTAAGAACACATCAGAGCGCTACTAAGCACTTCTCATTTATCCTGTGTTATCATCACTCCTGGGGGCTTCCCAGGTGGTGCTAGTGGTAAGGAACCTGCCTGCCAATGCAGGAGATGTAAAAGATGCAGATTCGATCCCTGGGTCAGGAAGATCCCCTGGAGGAGGGCATGGCAACCCACTCCATTATTCTTGCTTGGAGAATCCCATGGGCAGAGGAGCCTAGCTGTAGTCCATGGGGTCGCAAAGAGTTGGACACAACTGAGGCGACTTAGCACGCACGTATCATCACTTCTGCCCTTGTGAGTTGTCAGGGTTGGTAACATTCTCTCATCTTAGAGATAAGAAAATGAAGGTCCAGAGATCACTAGTGTTTTACCCTGGGTAATATGGAATATTAGACTGCCCTGTCAACCTGCAGGAAGCCCCCCTATTCCTTGAGGACCGGTTCAAAAGCTCCCTCTTCCACAGAGCCTTCTGTGATTCTTCCCCCAGCAGTGATGTCTTTCTCCCCTGACCTCCTAAGGCTCTCTTTACCTCTTTTACAATGCTTAGCACCTTCATCATCAAATATTCCTATACATTCATTCATTCAGTGTTCACTGAGTACCTGCTATATTCAAGGCTGGGGGTACCAATGTAAGCTCATGGTTGGGTAGGCAGAAAGATGAGAATCCTGAGTTTGATAGTCACACAGATTGATGCTTTGTTGTTGTGCTGGAAAAGTGATGGATGCAGAAGCAGGGAGGATGTAGGTCAATCATGGAATGCTTCCTGGAGGATGTTACACGTTGTATGGACAGGTTTTATCTCCCTATGCCTCTTTAGGCCAAGGACTCAAGGTTTCACCCTATTGTGTCCCTTGTACTCTGAATTAGCTCTCCTGCCTCCACCTCATCCACCCTCATCTGTGAGCAGACACGTTTGAACTTGAAGTCTTGCCCTCTTTCCCAGAGCCCAAGTACTGGTGTGCTGGGGGCTGGTTTGCTTTCAGGATAGTGGGGTTAAGACACCAAAGGAGGGCTGTGAACTTCTCCAGTTCCATCATTTTCCCTTTGGTCCCCCAGCCCTGGCCAGACCCCAGCCCCCAGGCACTGTGAGAGAGTCAAGGAGGACATGTAGTCTTAGGAGAACTTCCAGGTCCCCCGGTGAAGACTTCTGTCCCTTGGAGAGGAGGCTGGCATAGGTTCCACGAGCAATGAGGGAATGGTAACAGGCCTCTGGGTGAGGGGAGTGATGTGCTGTCTGTGAGGCTGGGGGATCTCTTGGTCAGGTTCACTAAAAGTTGAGCCTGGAGTGGTTGATGGGAGTGAGTTCAGGCAAGTGATTTGCTGAGAAAGTGCTCCCAGGACAAACTGAAAGGGGAGGAGGGAAACAGCTAGGTGACAATGCGGTTTAGTTGACTTAGTCTCAGCCAGTTCCCAGGGGTGGGGGCAGAAGGGCTCTGGAGCGTGAGCGGAACCATAGTCACCCCACTTGAGGCAAGACGGCTGGGCCTTTGCATCATGTCGATCAGTCACTGGTGTGTGTACGTGTCGGGGGGTGTTGGGCAAGGGGTGACCTCCTAGGCATGTTTGGTCCAGGCAGTGCTCACTGTCTGAAGGCAATTCCTTGGGGCAGGTGAGCTCTGTGTGCCTCGCACTGACTCCGAAGCTGGGAATGGAGGCTCCTGCCAGATGTGGAGAGCAGCCTCCACGACTGGGGTCTAAGACATGATGCTCATTGAGTAGTAACCAATTTGTACAGATTACCAAGCCTCCTCACAATCCTTGGCTCGTTGAAAAGCACCTCTCTCTCTCTTTAAAATATTTTTATTTTTTTATTTGGCTGTGCCGGGTCTTAGTTGCAACACACGGGATCATCCATCTTCGTTGCAGCTAGTGGACTCTTGGTTGCGGCATGGGGGATCTAGTTCCCTGACCAGGGATCAAACCCCAGTCCCCTGCATTGGGAGCGTGGAGTCTTACCCACTGGCCACCAGGGAAGCACCAAGGGGCACAGATCTCTTGCAAGAGCAGTGGGATGAGGAGGAATTGCCCATTTCCTGAGTCCTTGACCCTTCTGGTTCTGGCCTAAGGGCTCCAGGAGGAGCTCAGTGGGATGAGGCCTCTGAGGGATATGCTGGGGAGTTCTGGGTGACATACTCAGGAAGGAGCCTTAGACCACCTCTGGCCTCCAGGCCTCAGACCTCCTCTGGCCTCCGAGCCTCCTGTCTAAACCTCCCCGTCTCCCGCCAGCTCCAGCCCAGGCTCAGATCGTGCACGCGGGCCAGGCATGTGTGGTGAAAGAGGACAACATCAGTGAGCGCGTCTACACCATCCGGGAGGGGGACACCCTTGTGCTGCAGTGCCTCGTCACTGGGCACCCTCGGCCCCAGGTAAGCCCCCACCCTGGCTCGTGGGTGCCCCCCTGCCCTCGCCTCCTCACTCCCCACCCCACTCCAGGATCAGAAGAGGCAGTGGGGCCTGAGGCTGGAGGCAGATGGTAGCAGGTCAGCAGAAGACAGGAGCCTGGGGCTGGGGAAATGGCTGGAAAATAGACTCTGTGGGGAAGGGCTAGACTGTGGGCTTATTCACCTGGAAACACTGACAGCTGATGCCAGTTGTTCCATTCCACTCCATTCCCGGTACCTGCTGAGCAAACGCGCCTGCCGATAAACTTTCAGCCACTGCGTGAAGGCAGACCGTGTGCCAAGTGCTGTGCTAGATACTTTCTCCAGTGTTTCCTCTTTGAAGTCCCACAGCCAGGCTGTGAGGAAGGCATTAGGGCCTCCATTTTAAGCTGAGGAAATCGAGGATCAGAGAGGTTAGGTAAACTCCCAAGGTCACCCAGCACTTGCGAGGGCTGAAGCAGAATTTGAATCCAGAACCAGCGTTCTCTATGGCTTAGCACACTTCCTCTTTCGGTTGGGGGACCCAGGAGTTACCAGCAACGTATAACACAATTGCAAACAAACAACAACAACAAGCAAACAGAAAACACGTAACATAATCACTGCCTCAGGAGGTTTCCAGTATGCAAACCCCACAGAAGATGGGTATCTGGAAAAGCCAGGTGTGAATTTTGTCCCAGACCAACTGTATGTTTCAGGCAGGAAGTGTTGGCTGGTTATCACTGAGAGCTGACAGGAAGAGGTAGGAGGATGGGCTGAAGGGACAGGTGGAATTTGCTGGTGAGCTGCTGTGACCTTTAAAAGCAGCAGAAAAGGTTTTGGTTGGCTCCTAGGAAGCACAGTGATTGCAGAGTTCTTTTTTTGGGGGGATAATATTGGGAACAGGGGCAGCTTTAGTAGGTTTGACCTTAAGACAAGCAGAACAAGAAACCCCCAAAGGTTTTAGTCTGAAACTGTCATCACTGCTTGCTCCTTCTTAAGGATTTGTTTGGAAGTGAAAACAATGCTGCCAGTCTTCAGGATCTGCTTTTCCAGGTGTGATTTTAGGGACGGTCCGCTCTGAAGCCTAACCCTAAGCTCTCCCTAAGGCTGCACTGACCACCTGTGGGTGTCCCCCTTGTGCATCGCATGTAAGAGTCATTCATGGTGTGACTGTGTGTCCATGCACCCGTTTTCTATTCCCGTTTATAGTTTCATTGTTCTTCCTGCTACCTAGGTTCAGTCCCTTGGGCTCATACTTGACTCAGCCCCATATCATTGTCCACCTGCAGCCAGGCTCTGAGGCCTATCTTTTTATGTCTCTTGCGTGGATCTCCTTCTATTCCTCGTTACCCCTTGAGGTCAGACCTTCAGCCCTGTCCCTTGGACTATGGCAGTAGACTCTGACTGGCCTCCCGTTCTCCCATCCCCTCCCCCAATCCATTCCTGCACCCTGTTCCCAGAGTCACCACCCTCAGACCTGCTACACTGTATCACTCCCCTGCCCACATGGATCTGCATTACCTACCAGACCCAGTTCAGGCTCCTAGGGGTGGAAAGGAAGACCTCCCACAATCCAGCCCCCACCTACCTGTCCTGTCTGATCTCCCACATCCATCCTCCTCACACTCTGTCTTTGGTGAACCTGTCTAGAAACACCCTGTTCATTCTTGCTGTAGCCACTGCTCACCTTCTCTCTCTTTTTTTTTTGACTTCACCATGTGGCATGTGGGATCTTCATTCCCTGACCAGAGATCCAACCTGTGCCCCTGTATTGGAAGCATGGAGTCTTAACCACTAGGCTGCCAGGGAAGTCCTTAGCCACTGGTCTTTTCCTCTTCTGAAATGCCTTCCAGTGCCTTTTTTGCTCATTCCCTTGCAATAAATATTGAGTACCTGCTATGTGCCAAGTACTATGATGGGTCCTGAGGATACAGCTGCAGTTCCCATTGCCATGAAGCATCCACAGGCTAGGGGTGGAGCAAGTACCATCTCATGACCCACTTTGTGGTCACATGGGGGAATGAGTGCGCCTGGAATTCCCTACTCCCAACTAACAGCAAGAGAGAGGGAATGTCTATGGCTAAAAGGGAGGAGAACTCTACAGCAGTAGCAGTGAGCAAAAGCTGAAGAACCTGGTCCTTGGAGGGACTTAAACACATACTCACTTAAGAGACAGTAGTATTAATATACATGTGGGTGCTATGAGGTGAGGCCACAGGCTCGTCTATGACTGGAGCTGGAGCTGGACCCTCTACCTAAAACTGGAAGCTTAATACCAGTGATACCACCTATAAATGGGCACCAGATCTCTGTCCCACAGCCCAGAGTCACAGCAGGGAGCAGACTTTTGCTTCAGGGTGTGGATGCAAACAGAGTTACCTTTGAGGAATTAACCCTAATCCAGTCTGTATCTTGCACTATCCAAGTGGTAAGGAAATCTTAAGCTGTGAAACTAATATAAAAACTGGTTTGAACCTGTGAATCCATATATCTTGGGTGTAGGCAGCCATATAGTTACACCCCAGACAGGCCTGTCAGGGCCCAAGCGGGACTTTTGAGGTAATTCCTACTGAATACAAGCCCACAGAATGAAATTTTAAAACATCTTAAAATGCAGTGCTGGGAGAGCCAGTCCATAGACCCCAAATAATTGAACAACTCACATCTGAGAAATCAAGAGATCATAGAGCAATCTGGAGGGAATCCTTAAAATAAATATGTTTAAAATGTTTAAAGAGATAATGGAAGGAATAGAATCCACAAGACAGGAGATTATAAAACCTGATCAGTTAAGGATATGGAAAAAAAGCAAATAGAAACCCTAGAAGTAAAAAATGATACAGTCTTTAGAAAAATTTGGCCTCAAAGCCATAGACGTAGCTAAAGAAGAAACTGGTGAATTGGACGATAGATCCAAATCAGCTACAATGCGGTCTGGAGAAGACAGAGAGATGCAAAGTGTGAAAAGGAAGTTGGGAGAATGAGAAGCTATAACATAAATCAAGGCATTCTAGAAGGACTAGAGAAAACTTAGAGGAGGCAATCTTTAAAGAGATATAAAGGCTGAGAATTTTGTAGAACTGAAGAATGCAATAAATTCTTTGATGGATAAACCAGCCCCTAAGCAGTTTGTAAACAAACCCCATCTAGATAAATCATGGTAAAACTGCAAAATGTCAAGTACAAAAAGAAAAAAATATTTTTCATGGTCTTGTTCTTTCTCCAAACACCCTCTGATCAACTTCTGAGTGGCCTGAAGCTGCTGTAGTCTTCCCCAAGTTTTGTGACCCCTGGGTCTTTCAGGGTAGGGTGAGGGTGGTGAGATGGGAGTAGCAGGGACATACCATTACTCCTGCCAAATTCTGTTGGTCACACGGACCATTCCTGGTACAAAATGGGAGGGGACTACAGAAAGGTGTGAACGTGAGGAGGTGGAGACCACTGGGGGCCATGGTAGAGGCTGGCTACCACACAGACCTCTTTCATACATGAGAAATCTGAAACTAGGAGATGAGTAAACTACCCATGCCACTAAGCTAAAAAGTGGGATAACAAAAGTTTAATCAAGTCTTACTCTTCCAGGCACTAACTATATACTCGTTTAGTTTTCCCAGTAATCCCAGGAAGGGAGTAATATTTCCATTTTAGAGATGCAGAAAGGCAGGCAGGAGGGGTTGGGTAACTTGTCCACAAATCGATTCTCTTAACAACTGCACATACTGCCTTTATAAAAACCTCCTCCATCTGCCCCTAGATTGCCCAGGCTCTTCACTGAGAGGTCCCACCTCCAGGGTGCATTTCTTCGAGGCTGTTTAGGTTAACTTCCCAGGCCTGCACATAGCCCGCGTGCACTTGCGGAAAAGTATGGGGGTGGGCGGGAAGCCCCCGCGCTGGTCCGATTGTGCCCTGCCTGGCTGGCCCAGGTGCGTTGGACTAAGACAGCTGGGAGCGCTTCGGACAAATTCCAGGAGACGTCGGTGTTCAATGAGACGCTTCGCATCGAGCGCATTGCACGCACGCAGGGTGGCCGCTACTACTGCAAGGCTGAGAACGGTGTGGGCGTACCCGCCATCAAGTCCATCCGGGTGGACGTGCAGTGTGAGTTGGAACCCCTCTCAGTTCCCAGGGCCAGGGGCCTGCCCCTGGGGGCTCAGGCTGGGAAGGAGGAGTGGGGAGAAGGGTGGAAACATGGCACCTCCATGGAAAACAATGGTAGAGACTCTCTCCTCTAGGTTAGAGAAGGGCATCTTTGATGTTCCTTTGATTTGCACTACCCTGACCCATTCCCATCATAATCAAATATGAACCTTGGAACATCCCTGTAAAATGGTCAGGGAGGCCAGAACAGGTTGGGTTATACCCATTCCACAGATGAAGAAACTGAGACCAAAGGCTTGTGACTTGCTCACTGCCTAGGTCTCTTGACTGGTCCATTGCCCTTCCCACCACACCTCATATCTCTGCTTTTGTCCCCGGGCAGCTCTGAAACTTCCCTACCCCAACACTTGCAGGACAAGGCACCCCTCAGTCCTTGCTGCTGGCTGAATGAGAAGCCCCCAATCCCTGCCTGCCCTCCATGGATTACCCTTGACCTCAGGAGGCTATCTGCCTGCTTACCACCCACCTCTGTGTCCGTTCAGGCTGACCTAGGTACCCAGAAGCCCTGTGGGGCTTCCATCTTAGTACCTACAATGAACCTACCTATTAAATGCACCCCCTGCCTCCCAGGTGGGACCTGATAGAGTGGTGAGCAATGGAACCCCAGACCCTCTCTTTTATCCCCATTCAGGCTGACCTAGGTACCCAGAAGCCCTGTGGGGCCACCATCTTAGTAACTACAATGAACTTACCTATTAAATACACCCCCTGCCCCCTAGGGTGGGACCTGATAGAGTGGTGAGCAGTGGAACCCCAGGCCCTCTCTTTTATCCCCCATCAGCCACCCAGGAGTCTGCCAAGCTTTGGGGCCAAGGGTCATTTCTCAAGTTATTGCAGCGGGAAGGAGCTGGCAGGCGTGGCCTGATTTCCAGTCTCAGCTGATCCCTCCATCCCGTGATAGGAGGGTGAAGACAGACAGCCCCCCGCCCCCGCCGCCCCCCAGTGCAGGTTCTGGGGAGGGATAGCTGAGACGCCCACAAGTCCAGTCCCCTGCCTCTGACAGGTTGGTCAGACTTCAGGGCTGGCAGAACATGTGGTTCTCTGGAAGCATCCCATGAGGGTGGCTTAACTTTGCCTGAGGGCTGCCAGGGGCTCAAGCCCCCCACCCCCCGAACCTAGGGGTCACGCAGCTCTGACTCCACTGGGACTGTGCCCTTGCAGACCTGGACGAGCCAGTATTGACGGTGCACCAGACGGTGAGCGATGTCCGAGGCAACTTCTACCAGGAGAAGACGGTGTTCCTGCGCTGTACGGTCAACTCCAACCCACCTGCCCGTTTCATCTGGAAGCGGGGCTCCGACACCCTGTCTCACAGCCAGGACAATGGGGTTGACATCTATGAGCCCCTCTACACCCAGGTCAGGATGGGCAGCAGCTGGTTTGGCCTCCTTATGGCTTACCCCACGCTCTTCCTTCTGTACCCCACAAAGGGGGGGTGCAGGGGGGGCTGAGGCCTCACCACCTGGAGTTCCAGGGACTGCCCTGACTCCAACAATTTTCTTCTGACATCAGCAGCAAGCATTTTGGTTGGGCTTCAGACAGCCTGGGGTAGACAGAACCAAGACTGAAAGGTCAGGGAGCGTGATGACAGGAGAGCCCTTTAAGAACATCGCCAATTAGGAAAGCATCCCCGGGAGGCAGACAAGTCATCCCCACCTGTCGCTGGCTGGCAGGGTCTTGGGAACCCATGGCAGGCAGAGGAGGGGTTGGGATAAAGATGACTCACTCCCCAGGGGTCTCCTGCCATCCCAGGAGATGGTGATGAAGCCATCCTTCAGGGGAGAGCTTTCAGAGGCAGCTTTCCTAGCTGTCAAGACTCCACATGTGGCCATGGCCTGCAGGGCCAGCCCTGTATTTGTATGGATTGTGAGACAGGGCGGGATTCCCTCCTTACCCTTCCATTTCCTCGAATGGGGAAACAGGCCAGACCCTGGCCATTGTGTACCAGGACACCCTCGGACCCATGCAAGCCCAGGGAATGGGGAGTGTGGCATCCACTCCAGGCTCAGTCCTGAATAGGAATTTGCTTCAGCCTCTGGTGCTTGGTGAATGTGTGTGAGACCCCTGGAGACCCAAGCAGGCCCCTCACCCTAGTGGTCGCTGCCCAGGGGGAGACCAAGGTCCTGAAGCTGAAGAATCTGCGGCCCCAGGACTATGCCAGCTACACCTGCCAGGTGTCTGTACGAAACGTGTGCGGCATCCCGGACAAGGCTGTCACCTTCCAGCTCACCAACACCACGGGTACAGACACCTAGAACTGGAAGGGGAAAGGGGCCTGTCTTCTTTTCCTTGGTAGGAGAGAGAGGCTGAGGAAGGTTCCAGGCACTTTAGTTTCCCTGCAATTCAGGTGTCTGCCAGCAGATGGCAGGACTATAATTTGTGTAAAGTTTTTTTTTTTTTAATGTTTTATTTTGTAATTGGGGTATAGCCAATTAACAATATGATGTATAGAGTTTTATTTACAGCTTACAATCTACATTTTCAAATATAACCTCAGCAAGCCAAGATGTGGGAAGGGCTGGTGTTGATCACTTTGAATTTTTTTAGATTGGGAAACTCAGGCTGCCTGAGGCTAAATTTGGACATTCTAGTCTCTAACAGAAATTTCCTGACTTCCTCCCTACAAGTTTCTATAAGATTAGTAGAATCAAAGTGAAAATAAAACACATTTGCACATGCATCCTATGTAAATCTTTATTAGCAAAGCATTTCAGTAAGTATGAAGATAATTACTAAATGTAAAAATGATTAAAACTTGGAACACAATCTAAAGAAGTACAGATACTTTCCTAACTAGAATTCAGCCTCAGTAATGATCATTAGCTGCTTGATAAGATCTTGATTTTACTGCTTTGCTATAAGGAGAAACCTTTAAATTCTTCTGCTTGTACAGCTTTAGGTTACTGTTTTAAAATTTATTTTTAAAGATTTTTTTTAAAGAGCCAGGCTTGTTTCCAGCTTTTTAGCATTTGAAAGTAAAATACAGCTTTTGTCAAATTCAATTGAGAATCTTCTGATGAAATGAACACTCTTCTTTGTTGATCTCTCACTGACCAGTCTCTCCCTGATTCTTCTCACAAAAAAGAAGCTGGCGCTCTATGACTTTTTACTTAATTCTGATTAAGTAATGAGAAAGATAATAGTCAAACTGTGGTTATCTAATGACTGTTTTTCCCTTTGATGGTACTTTTCCCATCAGAAGATTGTTTTTCTCCACCTGATTCCATTTGACCTTTAAAACCTGGCTTGATTAGATTGCTATTTACATCAAATACTTGTGGTCACCTCTTGGGGTGACATACAGCCTGTTTTATTCAGCCCAGTCCTGATTTATGGCTGTTGTATCAGAGTCCTTTCCAATGAGCACCTAATATTAAGCATTCTATCTCTTGGCATACATAAAACATAATCAGATTTCTAAAAGAGGCCAGACCATTTTCTTTCTAAACTCTGTATTTTTATGTAATTGCATGTAAGATGATTGTATTAGTCTTTTTTTTTTTTTTAATGACACAAACTTGCAAAGAAATAAACAGCATAAAAGGGCAAGTTAAAAGTCTCCCCTCAGTTTCCTTCAGTCCCACTCTCTACATATAACCAGTATTACATTCCAGTGCTTCCTTCCAAAATTTGAATTTTGTATATTCTTGGTTTAAAACAACAATAAATATAAAGCAGCATAGTAGCTAAGAATATAGGCTCTGAGTGTGAATTCAAGGTTGGCTATTTACTTCTTTGAGCAAGTGGATTAAACTGTCTGAGCCTCAGTTCCCTCCTTTGTAAAACAGGGACAATAAAATTCCTCCCTCACAGATTGTGGGGTGGGCTAAATGAAGAAACACATTTTAGGTGCTTAGAACAGGGCCTCTCATAGTGTATGGTCAACCATGGCTGTATTGATTACTAAATTGACTTTTCTACAGCCAGCTTTTTTTGAACTTTTGAAAACACATCTGAGCAAGCAGAACAATTTCCAAGCAGAAAACGTGATGGTTTCTCCTGGGGAATGGGGTTGTAGACCCCGACCTCCAGGAAGGCCAGTTGGAGGCGAGAAGCCGCATCTGGATGGTGGTGGTGAGACAGGGAATCCTGGCTTTGGGCCAGCCCCAGCCACCCTTCCCTCCCCTTCCACCCACAGCCATGAAGAACGCCACATTCCAGATCACCCCAGATGTGATCAAAGAGAGTGAGAACATACAGCTGGGCCAGGATCTGAAGCTGTCATGCCACGTGGATGCCGTGCCCCAGGAGAAGGTGACCTACCAGTGGTTCAAGAACGGCAAGCCAGCACGCATGTCCAAGAGGCTGCTGGTGACTCGCAATGACCCTGAGTTGCCTGCCGTCACCAGCAGCCTAGAGCTCATTGACCTGCACTTCAGTGACTACGGAACCTACCTGTGTGTGGCTTCCTTCCCGGGGGCACCTGTGCCCGACCTGAGTGTCGAGGTCAACATCTCCTCTGAGACAGGTGGGCAGCCGGAGCTGGGGGGCAACAGGGAGGATGGCAGGGGCTGGGGAGCCCCACAGAGGGGAGGCGGGCAGCAGCTTGAGGAAGGGAGGCCACAGTGAGGAGGATACCATTTGTTCATGCTGCATGCATTTGTTAAACACGTGTTATATGCCAGGCACTGTGCTAGGCACTGCAGTAAAGTGGTGGGCAAAACAGGTTCTGCCCTCACTGGACTTACTAGCAAATATGTTTCAGGTCATCCCACAAATAAAGATATCACTGCAAACTGTGATGCGTGAGAGTCAGGGAAGAGTTTCCTAAGATAGCTTTGATCTAGATCTGAGGGAGGGGCAGGATTTTAGTAGGCACGAGAGAGAAAGAGAGGTGGAAGAGAAAGGCAGGCCAAGGACTCAGCATGTGCAAAGGCACGGATGCAGGAAAGTCCATGAACCGTTTGGAGCCTGGAAAGGAGAGTGTGGCCGGGAGAATGGAAGGAGATGAGAGTGGAGAGGTTGGCAGGGGCCAGATTTTGCAGAGAATTTGAGTCTTTATACCAATAATAAAAAAAAAATGATAATGAAATAATAGCCAACATTTAGTGAGTGTTCACTGTGTGTTCTGATGATTTTGTATTTATCTCATCCACATTTACGATTTACTGTATGGGGTAGATGGTTCATCTTCAGGTTTTAGAGATGAAGAAACTTGGGCTCAGAGAGGTTAACACATCAACAGGTGGTGGAGCTGGGATTCAAACCCAGGCAGCCTGACTGCAGATCTTGCCTTCAGCCACCCCTGAAAGGTTTACACTTGGAAAGAGTTTGAAGGGAGTGACTCTGGACAACGTCTCTGGAATCTCATCTCCAGCCCCCACTACCTTGCATTGAGTTGCTGGCTGACTTTGGCTAAACCTCTTTGACTCTCTGGGCCTCAGTCTCTCCTCTATGAGGCACTGAACCAGATGGCCTTGGAGGCCCTTCCCATCCGGATACCTGAACAGGGAGGAGCCTGGTGAACCTGGAGGCGTCAGGAAAGGCTTCCAGAAGGAGACAGACCTGAGCTGGGCTTTGGGAGTGAACTAGGCCCCACAGATTCCACAAATCCATTTCTTTTTTTTTTTTCCATTTATTTTTATTAGTTGGAGGCTAATTATTTTACAATATTGTAGTGGTTTTTGTCATACATTGACATGAATCAGCCATGGATTTACATGTATTCCCCATCCCGATCCCCCCTCCCACCTCCCTCTCCACCCGATCTCTCTGGGTCTTCCCAGTGCACCAGCCCCAAGCACTTGTCTCATGCATCCAACCTGGCCTGGTGATCTGTTTCACCCTAGATAATATACATGTTTTGATGCTGTTCTCTCGAAACATCCCACCCTCGCCTTCTCCCACAGAGTCCACAAGTCTGTTCTGTACATCTGTGTCTCTTTTTCTGTTTTGCATATAGGGTTATCGTTACCATCTTTCTAAATTCCATATATATGTGTTAGTATACTGTAATGGTCTTTATTTTTCTGGCTTACTTCACTCTGTATAATGGGCTCCAGTTTCATCCATCTCATTAGAACTGATTCTTAAATCCTGAGCCATGTCCTGGGTGAGATGCTGGGGAACCCAGCCATGAACACCACAGCCCCATTCTCAGAGCTCACTGCCTAGCCAGGGAGATAGACCTGCTGTGGAGGTGTCAGGCAAGGTGCAGGAAAAGGAAGAACAAGCCTTAGATAAGACTCAGGAGCTAAACGTGGGGTCTGCAGAGCATCCTGGGGACATGAGAGGAGGACCAGGCTGCCCGGGGTCATCAGGAGAGACTTCTTAGAGGAGCCAAGTTCCATGTCCCAGGTGTAGGGGACAAGCCCAGGAGAGGAGGGACAGGGAGCCCCCAAGATATATGAGACTTGCTGTATCCAGGAAGTATGTTCCTTACAAGTGGATCCCACAGCTGGGACTCAGGATGGGAAAGGGAAGATGAGGCTGAGGGTTGACAGAGGTAAGAGCATGAGGGCCTTGTTTCAGAGCCAAGGAGTTTGAGTTTTAACCTGAGGGCAGGATGGCCTCAAAAAGGGGGGACAAGCCCTTTAGCTTGTGGGGCATAGCAGGGTTGGGAACTGGGATGTTTTAGAAACAGGGAAATCAATGAGGTTACAGGGTCATTTCCTTCGCTTGGCTTATAAGCTTGATGCCTAGGGCATGGAAGCTTTTTAAGAACCTATGGAAATGGAGTAGAATTGGAAAAATAAATTAATTGGCTCCAAAATACAAAAAGAAAACTACTGAATTAAAGTCAATAAATGAATAAATGTTTACAGAGTACAAACTATGCCAACTAGATAACTGGACCTCAACTTGCCTTGTAGAGTTATTTACAACTTATATTTAATGTGGACATTTTAATTTGTTTGATGTGATATGAGATGGGACTCATGGAAGTTTTTTTTTTTTAATTGGAGTATAATTGCTTTACAATGTTGTGTTAGTTTTTGCTGCACAACAAAGTGAATCAGCTATGTGTACACAAATATCCTCTCTCTGGAAGTCTTTAAAAGACTCTTCATTTGGGCAAGGTGTTGTGCTGGATTAGCTCTGGCTGTGAATGACAGAAAAACCCTAAATAATAGTGGCTTTAAATGAGCTATATGTGTATTTCTTCTTCTTGTAAAAGTGAGCAGTCCAGGCTGGAATAGTAGCTCTGCTCCATCAAGTCCTCAGAGCCCCAGGCTGCATCTCATGTTGCTATTCTGTTCTCCTTGGCATGTGCCGCCTCGTCCACAATAGCAGTGCCAGCTGCAGCCATCAGTCTGCATTCCAGCCTGCAGGAAGCAGGAAGAGAGGCACAGCCTCTCCCTTTAAAGACCCCACCCACTTGGCCAGAATTTAGTCATATGACCACAGCCAGCCATAAGGCAGTCTTCATTCTGGCTGTGTGCCCTGCAAAAGCCCAGATAGTCTATCACTTTGGAAGGAAGGGTGAAGATGCTGGGGAACAGACTACGAATCTGTGCTAACACTCCAGAAAGAGAAGATGGAAGCTTTCACTAGAGCAGGGAGGGTGGGCTGGAGAGAGGGGATTAAAGGAGAAGCTATTCAGCAGAACTATTTAAAAAGTGGAACCCCCCACCCCCGTCCCCCAAATAAATGAATAAAAGATGGGATCCCCTAAACTTAGTAATGTTGGGGTTAGGGGATAAAAGGAATCGGCCTGGATGACTTCAGTACTCTTTCTGAATTGGGAGACCTTGAGAGATAGAGGCCCAGGAAGTGGAGAGGGTTTGGGGGAGAGGAGTTCTACTTTGGAGAAACTGCAGGATCTGTGGGCTCTCTGGGATGGGAAAGGGAGGTTCGAGCGTGCGGGGAGGGAAGCGGACGCCCCAGAGCAGCAGTCTGGGCTGGGGTGGGATCGGAGGAAGCTCTAACCTGGCTCTTACCTCTCCCCGGCCCCGCAGTGCCGCCCACCATCAGCGTGCCCAAGGGCAGGGCCGTGGTGACTGTGCGCGAGGGCTCACCTGCTGAGCTGCAGTGCGAAGTGCGAGGCAAGCCGCGGCCGCCTGTGCTGTGGTCCCGCGTGGACAAGGAGGCCGCGTTGCTGCCGTCGGGGCTGCCCTTGGAGGAGACCTCGGATGGGAAGCTGCGGCTGGAGCGCGTGAGCCGCGACATGAGTGGGACCTACCGCTGCCAGACCGCTCGCTATAATGGCTTCAACGTGCGCCCGCGCGAGGCCCAGGTGCAGCTGAACGTCCAGTGTGAGTCCCACCACCCCACCCAGACTACCGTCCGAGCTGTCCCTCCGGGTCTCCAGGCAGGCCTGGCCCCTCTTCACCCCTTCACCCCCACCCTCCACGTCCGACCAAACTCCTCCGCCTACTGCTGGTACCCCAACCCCTCCTTGACCCCCGTGCTGTAGGATGTGGAGGCCCATGACCCTTGCGGCATTTGCACCCCATCTTCATTCCCAGGAGCACAGTGAGCAAAGAACTGATTTTGGCAAGTGGAAATGAGAGTTTGAAGGAGGAAGGGCCTTCAAGGGAACACACTGCCTCAGTGTGATGATGAGAGTTAACCTGTGCTGTGTGCTTAGTCACTCAGTCGTGTCCGACGCTTTGCGACCCCATGGACTGTGGCCCGCCAGGCTCCTCTGCCCACAGGGATTCTCCAGGCAGGAATACTGGGGTGGATTGCCACACCCTTCTCCAGGAGAGCTTCCCAACCCAGGGATCGAACCCAGGTCTCCTGTATTGCAGGCGAATTCTTTATTCTCCGGGCCACCAGGGAAGCCCGAGAGTTAACCTGCCTGCCATGTGTCAGGCACTGTTCTGAGTATTTTGATGAACTAACTCATCTAGTCCTTCACAGCTCTGTGTATAGATTCTATTATTCACCCATTTTTACAAATAGGGAAACTGGGTCACACAGACATTAAGAAACTTTCCTAAGATCTCACAGCTATTTAGAGGCAGAGCTGGGCTTTGAATCTAAGCCATCTTGCTCCAGGGACCATGCTCTAAACCTGACGTTGCGTTGCTTTTCATCACACGGGGTGAGGGGACCATTTGATGCACAAATAGAGGCCCCCTCTGGGAAGCTCGGCTGGAAGTTACGGCGGGGAGGAGTAGGCATCTGCAGGTCGGGAGGTGTGGCTGTTGGGTACGCTGTGTGTGTCCGCCCTGAGACCCTTCCAGGCTGGGGGGGGGCGGGGCGCGGGCGTAGGAGCGAATGCGTCGCCTCCCCGAGGGGCAGCTCCTCAGACCCGACCCGGTGGGGAGAGGCCCCGCTGACCGCCGCCCCCGCCCCCAGTCCCGCCGGAGGTGGAGCCCGGCTCCCAGGACGTGCGCCAGGCGCTGGGCCGGCCGGTGCTCCTGCGCTGCTCGCTGCTTCGAGGCAGCCCCCAGCGCATCGCCTCGGCTGTGTGGCGCTTCAAGGGGCAGCTGCTGCCTCCGCCTCCTGCCGTCCCCGTCGCCGCCGAGGCCCCCGACCACTCCGAGCTACGCCTCGACGCCGTCACCCGCGAGAGCAGTGGCAGCTACGAGTGCAGCGTCTCCAACGACGTGGGCTCGGCCGCCTGCCTGTTCCAGGTCTCGGGTGAGAGTCCCGGCGGCCCCGCCCACCCGGGCCCAGCCCCCGCCCAATTACAGCCCCCGCCCAACTATAGCCCCGCCCACTCCCGGCCTGCAGCCCCTCCCCTTCCGTCCATGTGCTCCCGGTTTAGGGCCCTGCCTTGCCAGGACCCGCGCATGCCAGGTGTAGTCTCCGCGCATGCCAGGTGTAGTCTCCGCGCATGCCAGGTGTAGTCTCCGCGCAGGCCTCTCAGATCTAACCTCAGATCCTCTCGCAGCCCTTCCCACTCCACACGTCCACTCTAGGTGTAGGCCTTCCCGTTTCACGCCCCATTTAGACCTGGCCTCTGACAGCCCCACCCCTGCTCAAGCCTTCACTAGGCCTAGGCTTCGCGCCTCCAGAGCCTTTGGGTACTAGCCCTTGCCGGTTCTCACCACGCTCATGCCCAGCCTGTATGAGGCACAGGCTTCGCCCCTTCCAGCTCTCTGCTTACACTTGTTCATGCAGCAGGCAGCACGGTCTTTCCAGCTGGGTCCACAAAGTTCAGACTCACCTGCTCAAGCCCTGGGTTCCGCCCCCTCTCAGTCATCACTGTTCAAGCCCCTTTTCCTTTGTCCTTGGCCCCCGAAGCTGCAAACAGGGAATCTTTTCCTGACTGCAGGCTGTAGCTTGGGGGGAAGGGAGAAGACCCACCGTCCCCCCCCCCCTCAGACCCCGACATCTTCTCTGGAACATGGAGGGTGGCACTGGGCCAGCCAGCACACAGTTCCTGAACTGTCTAGAGATTCCAGCCCCTTGGCGCCCAGAAATCCCTTTCAGTCCCATGTCTTCAAGTCATTCGAGAGGGCACTCTGGGGCTGCAGCTGGGCGGAAAGGGGTGGAGGTCGTGGTGAGAGCAGAGGGTAAAGGAAAGGAGCTGATGGGATTGCCGATCCACCCCATGTCCACCTCCTGTGGGGAAGGCCAGCTCCCTGTCAGAAGCAGCGCCCCGAGGAGAGCCTGGATGTTCCTGTCCCCCATTTTACCGCACCCTGGCTCTCCCCACAATCCCTGACTGGCCTGGTATCCCTTTAGCTCTTTTCTGGATCTCCTCACTCAACAGTGGGGGCTAGGACCGCAGGTCACCGGCCGCCTCCCCAGTCCGTCCCCACCCCGCCCAACCCTGCCAGCCAGAGGCCCCTGTGACATTTCCCACCTCCTCCCCCTCTTCCCTGTTCTCCCACACTTCCCCTGTCTCCCCACCCCTTGGTCTCTGTCTCTTTTCCCTTCCTTCTGCCTCAAAATCCTTGACCCCTCTTGGTGTCTTCTCTCACATCCCTTCTCTGTCTCCCATGTTTCTCTTTTTGGGCCTTTCCTTGGCCTTTCCGCTCCATCCTCACCAACACCTCTTGGATTCCCAAACCCCCTTTCCTCCATTTGCCACCTTCCCTTCCCACCCTCATTCTCCCCAATCTCCTCTTCTCCCACCGCCTCCTCTCCTCACAATATTCCTTGTTTTTGTCTCCCCCCATCCCGCTCTCTGTTCCGCCCATCCTCTTCTGTCTCCCTCTCCCATGCCTCCTCTCTCTCTGTCTCTCCCCACCCTCTCAGCCAAAGCCTACAGCCCGGAGTTTTACTTCGACACCNCCCGTGCCCCGCTCCCCACCCTCTCAGCCAAAGCCTACAGCCCGGAGTTTTACTTCGACACCCCCAACCCCACCCGCAGCCACAAGCTGTCCAAGAACTACTCCTACGTGCTGCAGTGGACCCAGAGGGAGCCTGACGCTGTCGACCCCGTGCTCAACTACAGACTCAGTGTCCGCCAGGTGGGCCGAGGGGGATGGGGCCCAGGTGCAGGCTGGCCCTGGGAGTGCTTGTCAAGCCAGGGGAAGGGGTTGAAGACACATTTGGCCCTCTTATAGAAGGCTCTTCTGAGCCAGAGCCACAGTGTTCTGGACACAGCAGCAGGAGCTGGGAGGCTCTGGGGACCTATCCCCGCTGAACCCATGCTCTGCGCACAGGCCTGGGAATTAGGCAGGAGTCTGCTGGGTTCATGCGGGGGAAGGGAGCAGAGCCATTTCTGCTCACAAAACACAGAATCTGCTCTTACAGATTCTGCTTAAGAGCAGAATTCTGCTTACAGAATTCTGTAAGAGCAGATTCTGCTTAAGCTTAAAGCAGGAGCTTAAGTCTCACCCACAAGGTCTCTAGGATGCAGGGCCAGAGCCACCCTGCTGGTCTCTTGTCCAGTCTCATTCCATGTAGTTCGCCCAGCTATGGGGTCGTTGGGTGGAGGGTAAGTGTGTGACCCCAGGGCAGACCACCTAAGGTAAACATCCGTTCTGTCTTAATTTGGGGAGGCTGCATCTGTTTGGGTTCAGTTTCTTCATTTGTAAAATGGGGGTGGTTATAATATTCCCCCTGATAGGGCCATTATCTTGAGAAGTTAATAATCACATCACATTTGGAGCAGTGCTTAGCACACATTAATTGTTCAGTACTTGTTCATGTGTGTGCTCAGTTGTGTCTGACTCTTTTGCGACCCCATGGACTGTAGCCCACCAGGCTCCTCCATCCATGGGATTCTCCAGGCAAGAATACTGGAGTGGGTTGCCATTTCTTCCTCCCGACCCAGGGATCGAACATCTCTTACATCTCCTGTATTGGCAGGTGGATTCTTTACCATTGCCCCAAGACAGCCCGGGAGGGGGGACATGGAAGGGTGATTGCTCTGTTTTACAGATGAGGAAACTGAGGGCCTGGCTTCCTAGTCCTTTGCTCTTTCTGCTCCTCGATGCTGCCCTGCAGAGTCACACCAGGGTCTGGGCAGGTGCTCAGGTGGAGGGCATGGCCTGTTGGGCATCTGGGACTCCCTGTATCTACAGTTGAATCAGCACAACGCCCTGGTGAAGGCCATCCCAGTGCGGCGTGTGGAGAAGGGGCAGCTGCTGGAGTACATCCTGACCGACCTCCGAGTGCCCCACAGCTACGAGGTCCGCCTCACGCCCTACACCACTTTTGGGGCTGGAGATATGGCCTCCCGCATCATCCACTACACGGAGCGTAGGTGGTGGTGGCGGCGGCGGCGGTGGGCTAGGTGGGCCCATCTCATGCTCAGGGGACCCCTCCATATTTCCCGCATGGTTCCTGAGCTTGGGGTTCCCCAGCCTGCAGTGTCCTACTCTGTTACTGCAGGCCAGGTGCCTCTGGCCCCCAGTCCTGCTCCGGGGACCCCGTTTCCTGGTCCTAAGCCCAGGCATCCTCTGCACAGCCCCACACCTTGGTTCTGACTTGGTTTTCCTGCTTGCTTTCTCAGCCATCAGCTCTCCCAGTTTGTCAGGTGAGATACCCCTGCCTACTTCTCCTTACCGTTAGGGTCACAAAGGTTCCCCTGGCGGGGAGGAAGGGGCCCCCAAGAGATACCCAGAGAGAAAATAGTGTGGAGGCCCACCTTTGGCAGGAGAAGCAGGAGGGAGCAGGGCTGGGCTTGGAGATAATTGCATGCAGGCTTTATTCTGGGGCTTAAAGGCTTGAAGGGAGGGTGGAGTCAAGAGGACATCTCTAACTCAGGGTCTTTGTCCTCACTTAGCACCATTCACTGTCCCCAAAAGAAAAATGGAAAGATCAGGTTAATCCACCTTCTCTGTTCCCTGGGGCAGGGGTCCTTAATCTGAGATCCATGGACTTACTGCCCCCCAAATGATCAGGGTGGGCCCATGAAACTGGAACCTGGAAGGGCCTACAAGTACTTCTTTATTTTCCCTAACTTCTC